CTCCTATTTCTTGCCTCAGGCCATTGACCATAGGCTTTTTTATTGGCAGATGATGCTTATGAGAGTGTCTCTCTTCTCCTTCCTCTATTCCTATTATTCTTAGATTTTGTCTTTTCATAGTGTCCCAGATTTCTTGGATATTTTATGCCAGGAGGTTTTTGTTTTTGTTTTTTTAGATTTAACATTTTCTTTGACTAAGATATCTATTTCCTCTATTGTGTCTTCTACGCATGAGATTCTCTCTTCCATCTCTTGTTGGAGATGTTTGCCTCTGAGGGCCCTGGTTGAGTTCCTAAAGTTTTATTTTTCCAGATTTCTCTCAGTTTGGGTTTTCTTTATTGATTCTATTTCCACATTCAGGCTTTGAATTGTTTTATTCGTTTCCTTCTATTATTTGTTTGTGTTTTCTTTAAGGGATTAATTCATCTCATTAAGGACCTCTGTCATAAAGGCAATTTTAAAGTCTTTGCCTTGTGCTTCAGCTGTGTGGCAATTCTCAGGGCCTACTGTGATATGGTAGGGTTGCTGGGCTCTAGTGAAGACATGTTGTCCTGACCTTTGTTGATTGTATTTTTACACTGGCATCTAGGTATGTTGGTTTGGGAAAAAAATGTAACTCTGGGTGTTTATATCTGGTCTTGTCTTTGCTGGATGGGTGTTTTGTTCCTCTTGTCTTCTCTGGTTCTGAGGGGAGTGTGGTGGCTGACTGTTGTCTAGTAAGGAATCCCTCTGGGATCCTAATAAGTGTGGCCAGTGGGTTTCCAGGTAAAGTGTGTCTCTAGGTATTGAGATCCCATACTTAGGAATGGGGATGAGCTAGGAGTGGGGAAAAAGAACACTCGTGAGGGAAAAAAGCAGGGTGCTGCTGTGTGTAATTTTAAAAACATGCTAGCTCTTTCTCGAAAGCTCTGCCTAAGCTCCCTCAACCTCTCGCAGCTAGCTCCGCCAAGCTGCCAATGACCACCCCGCTGTGACCTTTCTCCTGTCCACCTTAGTCGCTGCAGATGGATGGAAACACCAGACTGCCTTAATATTTTAAAACTAGTCAGATAATTCAATGGCTGGGCAAAGAATATCCTGCCCCATCCTCCTTGACCTCAGCCTACGGCAGAGGCTACAAACTATAGGTGCCCTGAGACACATCTACTCCTTCCTCTGCTCCACCACTGCACCGCCTGCTTGGCCTCCTCTCTCATCCCATTCCCTTCCTCCTGGGACCTGGAAGTCCCATCTTTTTTCTCTTTGCCCAGAGATTGGCTTCTGCCTCCTTTATTGACACAACCAAGAACCAATTAGGGGATCAATACCTCCTCCTACAGGGTGCTCCACCAGGATCTGCTTAGTCACCTGGGAATGGGGGTAGAGAATGCGAAGAAACACAATAGGTAGTCTGCTACAAAGATGAGGGGGAGACTGGAGGTTGGACTTGGAGGAGAGGAGAGAGTGAAGAGCTGGAGCTCACCTACTTGCTTGGCTTCCCTACCTTATCTGGCAGGCTTAGCTAGTGGGTTCCCAGGGAACGCCTGCCAGGGTTGGGGACTGGGACCAAGCCGTGAGTAGTGGGAAAGGATGACTGCAATGGAAGATCTGTGTGATCCATTGGAGTTGGGGGTAACAGGCTGGGAGGAAGGGGAAGCTGCAGCAAGTGGGTTGCTCCGGAGCTGGGGATGAGACTGGGGGTGGGATTTGGAGGAAAGGAGGGAGAAGCGAGGATCTGCAGTTAGCCTACCTGCTTCCTTGGCCGAAGTCCCTTTACACAGTATTAAAAGTATTTCTAAGGCAAACATCTGTATGCATACTGGGGTGGTCTGAATGGGAAATGCCCCCCCATCCCGGGCTCGTCCCAGGTTGGTAGCACTGTTTCGTGACGCGGTAGAGCCTTGCTGGAGGATGTATGTTACTGGTTGCAGCCTTCGTGCATTTACAGCTTTGCCCCTCTTCCCGTCCACTTTCTTCTTGTTCACTCTTCTGAAGATGTGGTCTCTCCGCTCTGCTCTGGCCCCTGCTGCCGTGTCTCCCTTACCACTATGGCCCCTCCCTTTGGAACCATAAACCCAGATAAAGTCTTTTCTTCTATAAGTCGCTTTTGGCTGCGGGGTTTTATCACAGCCACAGAAAAGTAAGCAGTATATCTACCAACCTGTTTATCAACCAGCAATAGCGGTACCTCTGAGTCCCTTTACGTCTCAGGGCTTGGCTTTTCTCCTCTTCCTTCCCCTGCAGGCGGTCATTATCTTTAACTCTGTGTTTATGTTTTCCCTACTTTTTAATTAACATTTTTAAAGGTATGTATGTCCTACTATGTTCCCTTTTACCATTTTTGTGATTTCACATTACATCCCTGAGATCCTATGTGAGTCTTAACTCTGATGGTTTGACTCACATTGTGGTGTCTCCCGGACCTGTAGGTCACTCACACGAGCTACTGCACATGCAGATGTCATAGATAGCCCACGCTTTATTTGTTCATTCTTTAAGCAATAGACACATAGGCTAGATACAGCTTCCAGCTTGAGAATAGCAAATACCCGCTGTGATAGCCAGGGTGTGCTTCCTGGTGTACGGATGTGAGGTCACTCGGGTACACAACACAGCAACACTGAAAAGAGGGACAAATATGTCCACCACTGCCAGCATCTTTTCTACCATGGCAATATGCATGTTCAATATTCTCAAGTAGTTTGTTTCTTCCTTTCCTAACCTGCCAGCATGTATTAGTCCTATAACTCATTAAATAAATAATCATAGTTTGCTTAATAATCTCTTGTCTGTGGGGCTATCATATGGTTAACTTGTGGTCTCTTCCTTATCTTCCCTGAGGCTAGCATTTTTTATAACTAGATATACATTCAGTCAGGGAAGTCTACATGTTCTCAGTGAACTGCAGGAGAAATTAAACACATATACTCTGGAGCCAAAATGCCTGTTCAAAAATCTAGCTCTGGGACTGGAGAGGTGGCTCAGTGGTTAAGAACACTGGCTGCTCTTATAAAGGACCCGGGTTCAGTTCCCAGCAACCACATAGCAGCTTGCAAACACCTGTGACTCCAGTTCCAGGAGATCCATTGTTCTCTTCCGGCCTCCTCAGGCACTGGGAACACATGTAGTACACAAACATACCTACAGGCAAAACACTCAGACATATAAAATAAAGATCCGTTAAAACCTGCCTACTCCTGCTACTTGCTAGACACGGACCCTTGGGCTGCTGACTGCAGGTCTGTGAGTCTCAGCTAAGATATGCACGATACAAGAAGTTCATTTATTGTAACCCACGAAGCTGCTTCCCATGAAGATCACACATTACAAAATTAAACTCACCAGAGACATGTCTCAAACATGATAGGCACGAACAGTTGTACCTATCCATGTGCTCACCACAGTAAGTCTTCCTAGATCTGCCTCTATTCTTCACTTAAAGAAGATTCTCCTAAGCACTCAGAGACCTGCAAACACAGAGCTATGACTAACATGGCCAGCTCCATTCACTAACACGGCCAAGGCAGACAACGTTACTCTCTGCTGGAACACTGTCATCATAGGGACAGTCTCCAGAACTTTCCATCATGAAAGCCAAACTCCATGTTCCACCTTCTGTCTCAAGCCACCTTTCTTTCCTTAACTGTGAACAAGCTCAGAACTTTCCATGTGTGCATATGTGTGTGTGTGTGTGTGTGTGTGTGTGTGAGAGAGAGAGAGACAGACAGACAGACAGACAGACAGAGAGTTGTGTGTGTGAGAGGGAACCCTGTGAGAGAGAATTCTGTGTACCCGTGTGCATGTGTGTGTGTGACTGTGTGTGTGAGGGGGGAATGAGGGAGAGAGAGAGAGAGAGAGAGAGAGAGAGAGAGAGAGAGAGAGAGAGATGTTTACCACAGTCATTGTCTTCAGCTTGCACTTGTCCCTCAGCCTGTCTCACTGTCTGGGAACGGGTGTGTTCGGACACATGATTTCCAAGCTACTGAATCACGTAGCCCCTCTGTCCTCTCCTAATGGACCTCTTGGCAGCTGAAATCCAATGGAACATTTGCTTCTTGAAATACTTCCCCTGGCTTCCCTTACCACACATGGCCTGACATGCGGCACACACACACACACACACACACACACATACAGACACACACACACACACACACACACCCTGACTGGTCCCCTTCACAAGCTGTCTCTCTCTCTCCTTCACTTTCTCCCCGGCTCATCCTACCCACTCCTGAGAGGATGGACCCTTTCAAATTCTCATGGGTGAGCTGGAGTAGCTCAGGGGTCAAGAGCACTGGCTGCTCTTCCAGAGGACCTGAGTTCAGTTCCCGGCACCCACGTCTAGAGGCTCACAACTGTCCATAATCCTAGCCCCAGGAGATCTGACACCTTTGGCTCATGAAGATGAGCACAACACTTGTGTTTCCATAACCCCATGCAAACACACACATCTACATAGAACTTAAAAACAGGAAACGGTTAAAACACTCAGGATTTTCAGTATTAAACCTTTGAGTTCACTGAAGCCTGGACTTCCATATCCAGCTGCTTGCTGGCCATCTTCTGAATTTCACATCTCAGCAATAATGATGGCTCAGGCACCTACTCACTTCCATGTTGGGGGCCTGCACCCTGGCTAGTCCCTCTGGACTATAAGACCCTCCACAGCCACTGGCTAAATTTCAGCTTCCTTAATCTTCCAACTCTTTGTCCCAATACCCTCTTCTCTCTAACTCCTCTCTGCAAAGAACCGCTAAACCTCACCCAGCCCTGTTTAGTCCTGGCACCAGGACTATGCTCCTAAGGGCTCTACAGGATGATTATATCAGAAGCCAGCTTTTTGTTAATGTACCTTATTCCTGGTCATCCCC